TAGGAAGAACATCCTGCATACAATAACCGTTTTGTTTTCCCAATTTCTATAGGGTTGAAGCTTTGAGAGAAGCAGCAACTGCTGTTGAGCAAGAGAAAGAAATCCTTCTGGAAATGATCCACAGTATCCAAAATAGCCAGGACATGAGGCAGATCAGTGACGGTGAGAGCCATCTCCACAGAAGGGGCTCGTCTTTTACACTCCTTTAAAAGAGTTTATGATAAGTGTGGGTCAATTTTTGCTTGACTTTCGGTATGCGTATACTAGGCCACAGCATTTAATGTGAGCCACAGAGAGCAGCTGCAGCTGTCAGTTTATTATAGCAGCCACTTACTCAGAGATTTCTTCCAGCATGCTCTCTACCCCAAGCCATGGCTGGGAGAGATAGGAAAAAGCCTGCAAGCTCAGAAGAGCTGGCCCCAAGCAGTAAGGCCATGTGTTTTATCCCAGGTTCACACTCCTAACTTCAGTTCTTCACAAGTTACTGGACTGCAAGAGATTAAAAAACACAGAGGAAAAAGGGTGAGAATGGAAGCAGAGAAGTAGAGACCAAAAAAAAAAAGATGAATTGAGGTACAACATAGAGGGACAAAATGCAGAGAAAATGAGGAAACTTGTAGGACCAGTAAAAGGCATGAATGTAAAAATGTGCTGTCATTTTCTTTTTTCTTTTTATGAGATGGAGTTTCACTCGTCACCCAGGCTGGAGTGCAGTGGCGCGACCTTGGCTCACTGCAACCTCCGCCTCCCGGGTTCAAGTGATTCTCCTGCCTCAGTCTCCTGAGTAGCTGGGATTATAGGCGCCTGCCACCACGCCTGGCTAATTTTTGTATTTTTAGTAAAGACAGGGTTTCACCATGTTGGCCAAGCTGGTCTCGAACTCCTGACCTCAGGTGATTTTGCCTGCCTCGGCCTCCCAAAGTGCTGGGATTACAGGCATGTGACATCACGCCTAGCCTGTGCTGTCATTTTCATGTGAAGAACATGTAATAGGTAGGAATAGGTCACTTGTGATTTTCTTTTTATCGGCACTGGACTTCCTACTTGGGCTCCTTTGGTGCCACACAGGCCACATGTTACTGGGCCACGTGACTGGTGAGATAAGTAAGCAATCTAAATCCAGATCAAAACTGTTACACATCTATGGTAGGCCATGATCTAGTCTCTACACTGTCCTGCCCAAAGATCAATGAATTAGGAAGTTACAGAAGCAGGAGATTGCTGACTTTTTCATATAAATAATGAAATGTTGATAGAGCTCCTCATGCCGGTCAAGACTTTAGACCACTGTCCTGTTTCTATCTGGAGAAGCATGAAGTCAGTGCCTAGTATTGATGCCAGCTTATCTTCTATCATGGCTATATTTTCTCAACCAAAATTTGGGGCAGTGTATTCTGATAAATGCACATGTCGTTATGGAGAGATCTGGGACATCTGATCTCTGGAGCTGTACCCAGCATAAATCCTGTATGTGCTTACTGCTCAAAGTGTTAAGACTTGATCTCCATCCCAGTTACAAATGCATACCTACCCAAACTTTTGCAAACATGCCAATTTGAGAAGTCATCTAGTATCCCATATATAAAGATTGTCAGGAAATGGTATTCTACAACCTCTGTCTGTAATCTAATACATTTCATCAGGTAATCTTACATGCTATAATTTTAGCTTGTATCTTTAAAAAAATTTCATAGCAGAGATACTTAAATAATAAATTTAGTCACAAACAAATGCCTTAATGTTCTTGACACAGATAAGTTTATGTCTCATATTGATTGATATTTTAGGAGAAAGAGAAGAATTAAATCTGACTGCAAACCGTTTGATGGGAAGAACTCTCACCGTTGAAGTGTCAGTAGAAACAATTAGAAACCCCCAGCAGCAAGAATCCCTAAAGCATGCCACAAGGATTATTGATGAGGTGGTCAATAAGTTTCTGGATGATTTGGGAAATGCCAAGAGTCATTTAATGTCGCTCTACAGTGCATGTTCATCTGAGGTGCCACATGGGCCGGTTGATCAGAAGTTTCAATCCATAGTAATTGGCTGTGCTCTTGAAGATCAGAAGAAAATTAAGAGAAGATTAGAGACTCTGCTTAGAAATATTGAAAACTCTGACAAGGCCATCAAGCTATTAGAGCATTCTAAAGGAGCTGGTACCAAAACTCTGCAACAAAATGCTGAAAGCAAATTCAATTAGTCTTCAAACCCAACAGCATTTACACAATACACATGGTGTAAAAATGATAAAATATTATTTTAATTGATAACTAGTTCTTTATGTTAGATATAACCACTTAGTTGATACTGACAGTTGTTTCAGATGAGGAAAATATTCCATCAAGTATCTTCAGTTTTGTGAATAACAAAACTAGCAATATTTTAATTATCTAGAGATTTTTTAGATTGAATTCTCATCTTGTACTAGGATCTAGCATATTTCACTATTCTGTGGATGAATACAGTTTGTGGGGGAAAACAAGTGTTCAGCTAGGGGCAAAAGCATCAGTGCTTTTTCCTGTGCTTTGGCGTGGAATCACGCAGTCACCTTGGGCATTTAGTTGACTAGAAATTCTTTACCATAAGCAGCACACACATTTACTACACACACAGTGTTAACAAAGCACTGTGCTTAGAGGGATAAAAAGGAATCACAAAACAAGAATCTTTCCAAAGTTGTCTCATTCCGCAATGTTAAGGCATCTATATCAAATTATTCTGGATGTAAAGATTCCTGTGTCTCATAATATGAATGTATTTTTTGATATACAAGAAACTATGACATAAAATGTGAGAAAACCACCTATAATTTGCCACTGTGAACAATTATATATCTGCTTCATCTTTTCTCAAATGCATCAATTCTCTAGAATTCCTATATTGTAACTTGCCTTTTTTAAAAAGTTAGATGCTGATATAAAGCCTGCTTGTCAACTTAATGAGCTCTATTTTGTGTAGTTATATCTTTCTTTATCCATTCCCATCTTACGGACATTTAGGTTGCTTCCAGCTTGTTGCTATTACTGCAACATATTTTTGTACGCAGGGCTTTTTCCTTCTTTTGTTTTCAATTTTCTCTGTATAAAGGCCCAGCAGTGAATTATATTGGATCAAAGGGTATAGACATTTTCATGGTCTCACACACTTATAAAAAATTTTTTGTACAAAGGTTTTAGCAATTTATACTTTTTTCAGTAATTAAAATATAGCTATTTCACTGAACTCTTTCCAGCACTGAGCATTAACACTTAGTTTGCATTTTGTTTACTAAAAAGGTTGGCCAGTGTGTTGATTCTTTTTTTATCTGTGATAAAGTGAAGCAACTAGAAAACACTTATTTGTTTAAAGTAACTAGTCCTGTTGATATACAAAAAACGCAACAACTTCCCTAGATACTATTTTGAAATGAACACATCAATTTTTATTTCAATGTAGGTATTCTTCACACTGAAAAACCAAATCAGGATCCAAACTGATTTTATATATGTCTCTCTCTCTCAATGCAAGCAATATTGAACTTCTTTTTCTCTACAAAAATGCCAAGTTAGTCTCTTTATAAAAAGCAGTTAAAATCTGAAGACATTTATGTTACTTCCTTTGCCAGCTCCAACTCTGCCTTATTTAAATCTTTCCATTTCATGGGAAACATTAATTCTATCTATGGCAAAGCGACTTGGTTTGTTAGCAGACTCTGATTTGCTGTCATCAGGCTGTGAGATGATTTTTTTGTGTGCATCATTTTTTTCTTGACCAGCTTTTTGAAAATTAAGAAATGGATAGTCAGGTTTTCTTCAAGTTCTCAAGTATTGTCAGCATTCGTAAATCCCTTCCACTCTGGGAACTACTACTGCTCCCTGCTTCCCATGGCTTCCACATCAGCCCAGGACTTTTTCTACCACAAATTATTCTGGTTCTGCCTCCTTGACCTTGGTATTCTTAGCATTGTTTTTCCCATTTTTTTTGCAATGGAGTTTTTTTTTGGAGGTCATTAATTTCTGATCACAGACTTGAAGAGCTATGATCCACATTTCCAAGCTGCTTGGGGTCCCTGGTTTGCAGTGTCTCCAGCATTCTGTACCTAGAGCCACATCTAAAGGGCAGGGAATCTCCAGTTTTGTTTTGTTTTGTTTTTTTTTGAGTCTCACTCTGTCACCCAGGCTATCTGACAAGTAGAAGACATATCCACTGTAGCAAGGAACACTGTGGAGTATGAGTTAGAGAAAAGAGACTGTGAAGGAAAGGGAACAAACATTTTGTAGACGTTTAGTGTCGAATACATTCTAGGGAGGCAGTTTCTATAGTTTCTTTCGTTTACTTCATGAGGTTTCTTTTTGTTTTTTTTTGAAACAGAGTCTTGCTCTGTTGCCCAGGCTGGAGTGCAGTGGCACGATCTCAGCTCACTGCAACCTCCACCTCCCAGGTTCAAGCGATTCTCCTGCCTCAGCCTCCCAAGTAGATGGGACTACAGGCGCACGCCACCATGCCTGGCTAAATTTTTGTATTTTTAGTAGAGACAGGGTTTCACCATATTAGCCAGGCTGGTCTCGAACTCCTGACCTTGTGATCCGCCTGCCTTAGCCTCCCAAAGTGCAGGGATTACAGGCATGAGCCACCACGCCTGGCCAATGTGTTGATTCTTAACATGTATTTTTATTTATAAGAATGGGAGTATAATTTATTTTCAAATGATGATCAATCTCCTGAGTCACATTTTTACCCTCATTTAAACTATTGTCTTTTATATAGACTGTAAGTGCATATAGAGTATGTTTTGCCCTATCTCAATTCCATACCATTCCCAGCATATAATAAACAATTTTAGGGTAGCCCTCCTGCCATTTCTTGTTAGCACTGCTTTCAATATAATGAGGTTATTAACTATTGGCAGAGTATCTGAAATATGAAATAATTTTAGGTTGCTTTAATCTTTAAAGAAGTTGCATTATATATTTTACTATTTAGTTCCACACTGTTGATACAATCATACATATCACACAAAATTTTAGCTTTGAAATGCATTTATTTTTTGATTATTGGAATTCATCCTTCATGAAATTTTTATTGAGTAGTGTATTTTAAATTAAGCTCCAGAGTATAACTGCAACCAAATAGCAATCCATACAAGTGGTTTTCCATTCAAATTTACAAAAGCATTATTTATTAGTAACAAAAATATAGAAGGAATTCAGTTTTCCTTTTATCCCAAATTTTTTATTTTTAAAAGACCATTTACTAACATCCTACTGTAGATATTTTGAGAGAGAGATGAAAAGAAGTACCACCTAATGAAGATTATTATAGCCAAATCATCCAGTTAGCCAGGAGTTTTATGATTGAATATTTCAGAGTCTACTGCCGGTTTTAAATATTTTGTTAGCAAATGAATTCATCTGTATGATGATAGACTTACATGTTTTATAGCTGAAAACGTAAGGAGTGACAATAGTACATATGACATTCTTAACAGTTAAAACTGAGTAAGTCCTGTTCATTAGGTAGGTGCCACGTGGAACAAGCTTTCACCTCATCAGTTCATTTTGTTTTCAGAGAAACAGACAGACTAATGACAGATTAATGGGAACATTTTATCAGGTTACCAGTAACTATTCCAAAGGTTTTGAAAAGGATGCTAATAATTAACAATATCTTAAAAGGGTCCAACACTAAGTTGGGACACTAGGTCCTAAGGCCAACTCCCTATTCTAAGATCTTCAGAAAAGGTCCAATTTCCTAAAACTCAGGTCCAAGGAGTACATGTTGAGAGTTCTTTCTGAGCACTGCACTGCCAACTTCTAAAGCAACCACCTAAAACTTCACTCCATAATGAGGAAAGCTTTCATCCTCTTTTTGGTAGTTTTAGCTTTATTTTGAAAAAATACATGTGTGCTCTCAACTTTGGGCAGATACAAAGGAAATCATTTAACCTGGTTTTATTTAACTATATTGCCTTATGTGGGTTATTCTGTATACTATTTAATTCATAGAGACTGGAAAAGGAAAGGGAAACCTGAGGAACTTGGAAATACGGCAATTATTCCACAGCAATGTGTCTATGCAAAAGATTAGCCGTAATGTTAAAAAAGTAGATTAGAGCACAAATGCACAATCACCTGGAATCTTGGAAAAGTTTTTCTTCAGTATACATGGTTTCGTAAAATAATTAAAGTTATTTAACAGAATGAAGGGTCTTGGAAAAAAATGTCAATTTTTGAAAGCTTTAAGAATTGATTAAATTGAGAAATTAACATATGGCTGACTTTCAGGACTACTTAATTATTTTAAATGACTAATTATGGTTAGTTTTAAAATACGGCAGTGCAAATTAAAAATTCAAATATGTAACAAAGATCTCTCTTCAGTTCTTATTTTAAAAAAGATAAAACTAAGTACATAAAATTATATTGCAAATATTACAGGAACTGCAACTATCCTCAGAGATTACTTTTTAAAATATAGGTAACATGCCTTTAGCCACACAACTAATATGAAAAACAACTAGAACACATATAACAAGTGATTTTTCTGCCAATAAAGACCAAAAGACTATTTACTGTAAAATATTATTTTGTGCAAAAATTAAAGAGACAATTTGAAGAGAGTAGAAAAGATGACTCATTAGCAGTATCCACTGTTAGGAACTGAGTTTTGCCCCCAAAACCTATGTCATTGTCAGCAATGGGAGTGGTGACAACTGGTGACATAAGAATAAACATTTTATATTACTGTGAAATAGATAATGCCAGATCATTTCAATATAATGAAAAGCGAAATTTACTCTTTTTAGTTTTTTTATTTTTCAATCTAAAATGGCAAAGAGAACATTTACTTTTCATCACTTAACAAGGACACACCCAGGAAATTTGATTTTCTCGACATTAGGAGGACGAGGAGAGTGCAGATGGAAGACTTAAAAAACAAAAAACAAGAGAAAACACGAAAGGCGTACGTAAAACATTTTTTAGTACAAATAATGAAAAATGACTTCATGACACATTTTCCAAGAAAAGTTATTTTTACATATTTTGAAATGCTGTAAAAACCAGGTATATTGAAAGGGGTTATTTATAGGTTAAAAATAAAGCCATTGATGAGTGATAATCAGTTTTCACAGAGTTCACGCAATTATCTTAGCTGGAAAGCTACTGTCCCAAGTGACAAAATTTATGCTCTGACACATGATTCCATGTTAAATCATTTTGTAAAAGAAATGATTTTGTATGTGGGACTGACAGCTCCTGAGAAAGTGCTATACAAACTGAAGGTTATAGAAATTTTGAAGTGATAATCTTAAAATACCATACAAAAATGTGTAAACAAAAGGATGGTTTAGAGTTGCAGGGCATTATAAAATCTGTAATTTTAGTTAAGACTAATAATAATATTTTTGTGCACTTTAAAAATGGTTAGTATAATCTTGTAAGTTCAAAGCTGGGTTCTCAGTGAGCAGCAAAAGGTGTTAGATGCATCACCACACTTCACAGGACCTCCTGAATGATTGCAGATGTGCTGTGTACCTTCTTAAGGGGCTTTGGCTGACCTTATGACAGCAGGAGCTCACCATGCTTATGGGTGACTATACCAAAAAGATTTTGCAATAAGGCTCACCTGGGAGATGCTCTAGCATTCAAATTCCTATACTCCTCTTTTATCTATGCTGTCAGACGGAAACTGCTTACTGCTTTTAAAAGATATAATAAACTATAAATTCTGATAGTAAAGCACTATAAAAATTAGGTATGATATTTTTGGCACAAAGCGCTTTTTAAACCCAAGCTCATTTTGCAAAATATATGTCTAGAGTTTCTCATTTGAAAATAAAAACATATACACAATATGTAAATGGTTTTATAAGTGAATTAGAATGTACATTTTCTTAAATACTGCACATACCTTCAGCTTACTCCAGTACCAGACATCTGCATGCACAACTCACATTCTACATTACACAGATATTGCACAAGTACCAATGCCGAAATACTAATGCAGGCTGGCAAGATTTAGGGTTTACCTTTCAGTATTATTTTGTGAAAGTATTCAGATTCAGTATTATTTCGCAGAAAAGCTAGATGATCAATTTCAGGAAAAGAATGCTATCCTTCCTTGATCCATAGTATTAAAATCTGTAACAATATATTTAGGCATTTCATTTATGTTTTCCAGCATTTAAAATTCAGCAAAACCTGTGTTTGAAATTTCTTATAGCATTCGTTTAAAAATAGGAGAAGCTTCGTCTAATGTAAAAAAAATTAAAGGAGTCCACAGGGCAATAATTTTTCCACCAGAGGTCTCACTCTACATTCTGAAAAGCACTGCAGAGCAATATTTAAGTCTGTCACTTTCAGGGAGCCATTAGGTGCAGTCTGCTGAAAACCTTGTAACATACCATGACAGCTGGATGGGTTTCTTAATGAACTGCACAATGTAATTCAATTATTTTCCTCCCAAAACATCTTAGGGTATGCTACAGCTGCTAAAAGGATTTCTGTTTTTCTTGGTCCTTTGTTTGTTGGGTCTAAGATTGATGACATCTCCACCATTGAGGGTACTTGAATTCTGACCCGAGTGACTTCCACCAGATGTATTAAACACACCTGTATAAATTGAAGGAAAACAGTGATTGCCACTGACACGCCTCAGAGTTACCTGTTGCATCCAGCTTGTTAGTAAAAGTAATATTTTCAAGTATTTACAGTATCTTTACAATTGCAGTAAAATCCAACCAAATTTACCATCTTAACCATTTTTAGGCATACGGTTCAGTGGTATTAAATACATCTGTAATGTTGTGGAACGATCACCCCTGTCCACCTCCATAATTCTTCATCTTTAAAACTGAAACTCCATACCCATTAAACAGTAACTCCCATTCCCCCTCCCTGCAGACCTTAGCAACCACCCTTCTATCTTCTGTCTCTTATGATTTTAACTACTCTACCTTATATAAATGGAATAATAGTGTCTTTTTGTGACTGACTTATTTCATTTAGCATAATGTCTTCAAGGTTCATCCGACGTTAGAACCTGAAGCATTTCCCTCCTTTTTAACGGTGAATAATATTCCATTGCATGTATATACTACATTTTGCTTATCCATTCATACATCAATGGACACAGATTTATGATTTGAAAGCTTTTGTTTTAGTTTTAATAGCTAATACACATGGTACAAAGTTCCAAGGCTATAAAAGCGGTCACATTAGGGCTCTTTTTCACCCAGATTTTCACCCCTTGCCAGTTTTCCTCCCCTAAGGTATGCATGTTATTACTCTTCCTACTTATCCCTCCAGATACAATTTATGCATATATAAGCTAAAATGCATATATATTCTCTTTTCTACCTAAGTTGTGGCATATTCTACACAATGTTCTGCATCTTTTGACTAACAATTTATCTTTGACATTTGAAATCAGTAAATACAATAATTTTATTTATTTATTTTTTGGAGACGGAGTCTCGCTCTGTCGCCAGGCTGGAGTGCAGTCGCGTGATTTCAGCTCACTGCAACTTCCGCCTCTCGGACTCAAGTGATTCTCGCCTCAGCCTCCCGAGTAGCTGGGACTACAGTCGTCCGCCGTCACGCCCGGCTAATTTTTTGTATTTTATAGTAGAAACAGGGTTTCACTATGTTGCCTAGGCTGGTCTCAAACTACTGAGCTCAGGCAATCCACCCGTCTGGGATTACAGGTGTGCTAGGATTACAGGCGTAAGCCACTGCGCCCGGCAAATGCGATAATTTTAATAACTTATTAACTTCACATCACTTCCTCAAGAATACCTAACTTTTAGTTAACAACAGTAACAACAGTATTTGTGAGGGGTGTGTGTGTTTTAATTTAAGAGACGGGGTCTTGCTCTGTCACCAGGCTGGAGTGCAGTGGTGCAATCATAGCTCATTGCACCCTTCAACTCCTGGGCTCCAGCAGTCTTGCCTCAGCCTCCTGGGTAACTGGGACTACAGGCACGGGAATGTGCCATCAGCTAATTTTTCCTTTTTTTTAAGAGAGAGGATATTGCTATGTTGTCTAAGCTGGTCTCAAACTCTTGGCCTCAAGCAGTCCTCCTGCTTCAACCTCCCAAATAGCTGGGATTATAGGCATGAGCAACCACACCCAGCTATTTGTGAGATTCTGTGTTAATACTAGTAAGATAGGTTTTTCCTACTTGTGCTAAAACAGTAAAAAAGTGGCCCACAGATAAAAGTGATGAGTAGCTAAAAGATAAAGAACTTTATAGTTTCCATTTTGAACTGTGGTATTCACAAAATGAAATCTCCAATTTATGAATGATTTAGCATCCATGACACACAAAATTCTGGGCCAAAGATACTGTCAGGGATACAAAGGTGACTAAGACCAATTCTCACCTACAAGAAGTTTACAATGTAATAAGACAAGACAGTAAACAAGTAATGCCATATGAAATTATGTGTTAAGTGTCATAAAAGACACAAAATCTTACAGAAGGTTCAAAGGAAGGACAGATTGCATCTGATACATAAGAAAGGAAAAACTACATGAAGAAGGTAGAACTGGGCACTTGGCAATGCCCTGGACTTAGATGTCTATTCTTTTAGAAGATGGAGGCTGGGCAGTGGCTCACACCTATAATCCCAACACTTTGGGAAGCCGAGGCAGAAGGATCACTTGAGCCCAGGAGTTCAAAAGCAGCCTGGGCAACACAGTGAGAGCGTGTTTCTTTAATTAAAAAAAAAGAAAGAAAGAAAAAGTATGGAGGCTGTGTGTTCTTCAGGCAGGCAGATACACAATTGAGAACTTTCTAGAAAGGCCTTGAGGAATGAAGTGTTCCTTCGACAGAAGATGGGAAAAAGGTCATTCTCAATAGAAGAAAAAAAAATGACCAAAAGTGAAGAAGCAAGAAAGCATGGGGCATACTCAGAAAAGATCAAGACCTCTGAGAGAACCAGTAAATGGGGTACATATATATAATGGTGTGGCAGGAGGCTGCACAGAAGGAAGGGCAAACCCATCTTTAAATGTTGGAATGAAGAGAATCTGCATTTACTTTGTTCCACAATAAGTCTTATTAGATAAAGCATTAATCAGTAGATATGAAGAAGAAAAGAGTGGGGCCAAGGAGACCACACCAGGTAGAGGCTTACTGTAAGTGTCCTGTGTTCACAAAGCATTTAAGGTCTCTGATGGCAAGAAATTTTGCAATGAAAATGGCGAAGTCAGAAGGAAAAAAAAAAAAAAAAAGCCAGAATCCAGGAAAAATCTAAGTTAAAACAGGTCTAGAAAATAATGTGTTTGTTTCTATGTATGTACTGAAGGGGGTATGTACTTAAGGATATGAATTCCTTAAGAGACTATACAAAAGATTTAGAACCAGCAACTTTGGCTCTCATTTTCCTGGAATCCAAAGCAAGAAGAGAGATATGGTCAGGCAGTTATTGTGAAAGAGAATACAACACACTTGTTCTTCAGGGAATGCTAAAGTTTAGCTAGCATTTAACATAAGAAAAAGCAAAATTAGTAATGGGTAGTAAGCAAGATGGTAAGAAAAGGAAAAGGTAAGAGCCGGTATAAGTATAGATTCAGAAGAATAAGTGTTATAAAGCTCCTTTATATACAGGACAGATCTTTACAAAAAGTCTTTATCTCTGCTGTGTTTAATCGATCAAATGGATTTATAAAATTCAATGGCCAAAAAACCCCATGAACGCAATATACCTTTTAACAAGAGACCTGACACTTATCAGTTTAATAATCAGAGTTATCAGTCTAATAATCACTTTTAAATGACATTTCTGAAAGAAATTAGCATATTATATGTATTTTTTAAAGTAAATATAATAATAATGAATGGAAAACAACCTTACCAAGTAAACATGGGCTAAAATGTCCTAGGTGCTTACCAATTTTGTTACTACTTGAATGCATTAGCTCTGGATCCTCAGCTATTTGTTGTTTGAGTTTCTGAAGGTATTTTTCAGCCAAATACTTAAAAACTAGAATAAAAAGAAAACATCCAGAACCAGGTCAATGATTTATGCATGTAAATCTGTTATTTCACATCATTTATAATATTTATACTTGCTAAACAAATTTAAAGTTAGAATTAGGAGCATACAACCTAGTTAAAAATTCAACTTTTAAAAATTATTTGGGCAGTATCTGAGTACAATGATAACATTAACAAATGTGTAATGGTATTTTATTAGTAAATGAGTGAAATAATACTTGTAGTGATTGGCTCTTCTAAGTATCTGAATAGTGATTAATATTAAACAACACTAAACAGACTCAGTCTTGAAAAGATGTCTACTTTCTTTATGTGAAGAAAAGTATCCAAAACAGACATCCAAGAGAATATCTAGTTGCAGTCTAAATAATTGGCAATTCTAGAATGAGAAAAATAACTGATCATCTTTCTCTAATTTCACTTTCTTAAACTAGGAAATACTATTAAACAAATTAAAGTCATTGTAACTACCTAGTGGAATATCGACTACCGTGGAGTTCTAAAACAACTGAGTTATTTTTAACAGGTAGGCATCAAAACCACATATGCATATACTCTACATACACTGCATATACTCTACATACATAGCTTACATTTTTCAAAGATAATAATAAAATGGAAAACCTCACCAGGATAAAAAGTATTCAAGGGCATTAGTAAATAATTAAGCACTAATGAAAAAAAGTAGAATGCCTTTAAATTCTACTTAATGTTAGGTGACAAAAAAACTTGTTCTCATTATAAATATAATTTCTAAACAACACAATTTTAAAAGCGCAAGAATAAAATTATTTTTGCAATATGTATCCTTAAAAGGTAATTTACCTTCATTCACATTTAGATCTTCTTTCACTGATGTTCTGTAGAACCTTAACTTTAACCTTTTTGCCAGTGCCTCAGCTTCCTCACTGCACATCAATTAAAAAAAAAATACTTTACAAAGGTGCCTTCTGATAGCTTGTTTTTTAAATCACTTTTAATTACATGTACTGAATACAGTTTGGCAGGGAAGGGGGATCAGATCTTTTAGAAAATTTTCATATTTCTTTTTAAAGGAGCTTGATATCAATGCCCAATTAAGTAAAATCAGTTGAAAGCTATGTTTTCACTTAGTGCCTGAACTGATTTTAGTCTTCACTACTCTTGAGAAATAAACACCAACTATTATACCGTATGTGTACACAGAAGACTTTTCTATAAAGTCATTAATCTCTAGCCCTAAAATAAGAAAATATCACTTTTCTTTATATAATATTTGAATTAATTTTCTCTCCTCCTAAGAACACTGTAGTTAAACTCTAAAAATCTTATAGTGAATTACTTATTTTATTCTTACTGGCCATGAAACAATTTTGCTGCCTAAATCCGAAGTCACTATATTAATGACTGTATCTCCAAATTGTACTCCTAATTTTAGTTTTATCAGGAGTCCTGTTGTGGACTCCTGATATTAATGTCATTAGAGAGTTGTAAACATACCCCATAGGCTCCCGCTATTCCCCTGGCTTCTGGTCTTCAGCCCCTTGGGTAGTCTCCTCCGACACTATAATCAAGGTTGGTCTGGGTGTCCACTAACATACAAGGGACAGTATGTGACTTCTAAGACTGGGCCATAAGAAACACTGGGCTTCTGTCTTGCTCTCTCTTGGATCACCCACTCTGGCAGAAACAGCCGCCGTGTTGTGAGAACAGGAGAGGCCCATCTGACAAGGAACTAAGGCTTCCTGCCAAGTGAATAAGCCATCATAGAAATGGATGGTCCAGCACCAGTGAAGCCTTTCTGTGAGAAGAGGCCTAGCCAACATCTCGATTGCAGCTTCATGAAAAACCACCAGCTAAGCCACTCCCAAATTCCTGACCTACAGAAACTGTGATATAATAGATGTCTGTTGTTTTAAGATACTAAGTTTTGGGTTAATTTGTTATACAGCAACAGACAACTAACATAAGAAGACTTAAAAAAAAGGTAAAAACCAAGCAAATATTTTCAAAGCTAGCAAAAATATTAATAATGCAATGAGTAAATATTTATAAACAGAAATCTGCTCACAAATTTGAGCATAAGAGTTCTGAATATACAAAACAATATGAATCTGAACCCTTAATTAAAATTCATCAACAAGAATAGCTACTTATTCTGGATATTACAAAATCTAGGGATGCTTTTCTTAACATTCTTAGTATATTAAGGTTTGACTTAACATGAAGAATTAGATTTCTTGTGCAAAGACAAGAAATTCTAAAAGAGCCTTCAAATTTTATTCCTTTAATTTTCTCTACTTAGGAATCAGAATGAATTTTTTAAGCCAAACCAATCACACAGAATAGCTCATAGAAATTTTAAGTAAATTAAAATATTTAAGTAATTAAAGCCTTCAAAATGAAAGTATAGAATTTTTCCTAGATCCTGTAAAACTATGCAAAAATTAAAATGTCTTGTTTATAGAATTACTGTCCCTCCTCCCCCAAAAGTAGCCGTCTTACTTCTTTATACAAGAATCATCCAAGAGATCAATCTTGTTTTGTACAAGTACAGTTGGTATATCTCCCACTTCAGCTACTACTTTCTCTCTCCAACTGGAAACTGCTTCAAAAGATTCCCTATCTGTGGTAGAAAACACGAGCACACAAGCCTGGGCTCCTGTAAGTTCACAGTCAATAAATCAATCAATCAATCAATCAAGTTATTTGCATTAACATATTACATTTACATTAATAACACAATCTCATGCAGAATGGGGGCAACTTTTATCCACTCAAAACAACTTTTATGTGAATAAATGTTGAACTCATCTTTGTACCACTCTTCTTTACTTTTCAACATATAAACTCTATTTTCATTTTTACCAAAAACAGTGGTTCTCAAATGTGTTCAACTGTCAAAGTACCCTCAAAACCATACACATTCTTTTTGGAATACCATAAAATACTGATTTAATTCCATTATAAAGGCTAGAGAGAATAGTAAACTAAAATTAGAGGTTGTTGCCAAATTCTTCTTGTTAATTTGCTTCTTAATTTCAGTGCAGATTTCAGAAAAATTTGTCATTTGCTTAATTTCTTTCAGCAAGGATTTAAGAAAAATTTATGAGAAAAATCATAATTTGCTCATTCGATTCACTTTTTAAATAAATTGTATTATTTTATTTCAGTAGAATACCAGCTAAGGAACATAATTTCGAAAGCCAATACCGAGAGTTATACACACACACACACACACACACACACATATAGAGAGAGAGAGACAGAGGGAGAGAGAGAGAGGTGGGGGAAACTTAGTTTTACTCTGTTTACATAATTTTACCCACCCATACTGTATCCATTGACAATATTTTAACCATCAACTGTCATTTTAGGCTGATAATATCAAAGACTAAAAATAAGCAGAAACCTCTTAGAAGAAGCAGTTTTATAAATTATTAGCTATTGATTCAGGTAGCATGGTGATAAAAGCAGGCATGTAAGCAACAAGGGAAAATCATCCTGGGGGTCAAGAGGATTTCCTGAAATCAAGGCATGTTTTCTTAACATTACTGCTTCCTTACAGATCCCTCTGGTATAAAAGTTTTCTACTAAGACTCAAGATATGTCTGGGCTGTCTAAGACACTCTAGAGCCAAAAATAGTCTATATATCTATATATCACTGGGGGGTGATATATGACCAAAAAGCCCTTTCTAATATTTATTTTAAAAAGCTCAAAAGATGACCCCTTACCCCTCAGCCTCTCGAATAACTAGGACTACAGGAGCACGTCATCATGCACAGCTAATTCTTTGTTTTTTGTTTGTTTGTTTATTTGTTTTTTTGTAGAGACGGGGTCTCCCAATGTTGCCCAGGCTGGTCTCAAACTCCTGGGCTCCAGCAATCTGCATGCCTCAGCCTCCCAGAGTGCTGGGATTACAGGTGTGAGTGACTGTGCCTGGCCTAAAAACAGGTTTTAATCCAAATAATAAATGAATTATTCAAAATGCAGAAAGAGAGAGACAAAGACACCCTGAGACCTTCTCAGAATGTCTGGGAAAATAAAACTGAAGAGATCACATTAGCATACTGATAAATACACTTATATTTACTTGAGCTGTAATATTTACCTCAACCGCAAATTTAAAAAAAAACATTATGTAATTATATTTTAAGAAACTGTGCTGGGCACGGTGGCTCACACCTATAATTCCAGCACTTTCAGAGCCCAAGGCAGGTGAATCGCTTGAGCGCAGGAGTTCGAGACCAGCCTGGGCAACATGGCAAAACCCCATCTCTTCAAAAAATACAAAAACCAGCCAGGCGTGGTGGCGCACGCCTGTAGTCCCAGCTACTCAGGTGACTGAGGTGGGAGGACTGCTTGAGCCTGGAAGGTTGAGGCTGCGGTGAGCTGTGATTGTGCCACTGCACTCCGGCGTGGGCAAAAGGGTGAGAGACTCTGTCTCAAATAAAAAAAAAAAGAAAAAGAAAAAAACATGTCCCCTCAGCCAGGCTTCAGTGCAGCAGTGGAGGAAGACAGTTCCTGTGCCAGCTGCTCCTGCCCTACCTCCAGCTGCAGGGGGCTCTGCTGTTCTGCTGGGGGCTTTTCTGATACATCCCCAAGGGGGAAGTGATACCTCTTGCGGGGTGGAAGTAACACCTCAGCCTCCCTTTGCTGGGCTCCTGACGCCTCTCTTCATGGTTCCTCAGGGAGACTGAGCCCCAGTGGCCCACAGTGATACTTAGAACACTTCACTGGTTTTTCTCCCTTCCTTGCCTCATTCTCCCTAGTCTTTCACTATACTTCCTGCGATCATGTCCCAAATAAACCTGCCCCGCTCACGTGGGACAGTGGGAGGGCACAGAGATGCTCAAACTAAGACAGTAAGTGCCTTAAGTTAAAGGCAATCACCTTAAGAATAAGAGAATGTATGACTATTAAACCACAGGAGAAAAATGGATTTGTACAGTATAAACAACAAAATCAAAAAACAAAAACTGCAGGAAATAAAAAATCTGAAATAAGATCGCAAAAATAAGTCCTAGAAGATAAATTACAATCTCTAGAAAGAATGGTACACAAATCTCCAAAGCAGGATGTTCACGCGATACCAAGCCTTTATATCAAACGCTGCACCACCTTGTCTGATTTGACCTAAATATATTACTAAAGTGGAAACAAAATCAACTGGATTACTTTTTATGGATGAGTTTTATGGTTACAATAATTCTGACAAATGTTGGACAACCACTTGTTTCCATTTCCTCTGAATATCATCTTCCATCCAGACAGTTAAAACACTTTGTCAAACTGTGATTCATCATGGTTCTTTTATGTTTGGAAAAATCCTAATGACCAAAAAGCCCTTTCTAATATTTATTTTAAAAAGCTCAAAAGATGACACCTTACCCTCCACCCTTTTTTAAAAAAAAATTTTTTTTTGACTGAGGTACCAATGAAGCATGAAACACATAAAAGATTCCAAGATTTATAAGACAGATCATCATTTGCATAATTTAGAAAGCAAATGGCTGATGATCCTGCTACATAACTCTGGAACGCCCTCAAGCACGTCAAGAAATTTCTTCTTTTTTAATATGAGAAGGTGGTTAGAAAGAAAAGGGATCTGTAAAGAATTTCTTTAGAGGAAGTACTGTACTCCAAACCCTCTCTCCTGCAAAAAGGTGTGGTAGGATGGACGAGGGCGCTATCACCACCTCCTTCATCTCAAACCTTAAAGAACGGATGCTGGCAAGACCAATTAAGGAGGATGTTATGTATTTCCGGCAACTGGGGGACATTTGGGATTAGTGATGCCTTGATTCAAGCCTGAGAAAGATGCAATGGCTGAGAGTGAGGCTGAAAAATCAAAACCAACAGACAAAAAGCAGAGAGCTATATGGGGAAGGAACTGTGCTTCCCCCAGTGGCAGGGCAAAGAATGCACAGGAATTTCATAGGGGCAGAGATGAACCACATCTGAGAGATACCAGTAATGGGGCTCTGGACATGCTAAACTAAAATATGGCACCTTGATGTACTGAATACTTTAAGCTGAAGGAATCTGAGAAAACAGCAGAAGCAGGAGGGTCACTTTGATCTCCCCCAGCCCCTTCTCCACTTGAACAGGTCCATAAAATTCAGGAAGGATTTTCTTCTTTTCTTTTTTTTTTTTTTTTTGAGATGGCGCCTTGCCTGTCACCCAGGGCTGGAGTGCAGTGGCATGATCTTGGTTCTCTGCAGCCTGTGCCTCCTGATTCAAGCAACTCTCCTGCCCTCGAGCCTCCAAAAAGTAGCTGAGATTACAGGCGCCCACCACCACACCCAACTAATTTTTCTATACTTTTAGGAGAGATGGGATTTCGCCATGTTGGCCAGGCTGGTCTTGAACTCCTGACCTCAGGTGATCCACCCACCTCGGCCTCCCAAAGGAAGGATTTTCTGACCTTCACCTGAAGGAGGTCATAAGCCCCTCAGGTGAGAGGTGACCTCCCTATACCCAGAGGAAAGGAGAATCCTCATTTCTGAAGAGAGAGGGACACCAAAAGGAATCTGAATGAACCTCTGCTGACGAATCTTGCTAAGTTTCCTCCAGTTTACTGCTCTTAGCTCCTATTTGTCCTATCACATTCTTCAACGACTTTGCACTGTTCCTCAAACCTAGTATAAAAACGCTCAGGTTTAACTGTTTATTTGGGTTTTCATTTCCTTATGAAGGCTCCTTTGTCACTTAAAACTTACATTAAATAAATTTGTAAGCTTTTCTCTTGTTAATCTATCCTTTGTTAGAGACCCAATCAAGGACCAAAAAGAGTAGAAGGAAAAAGATATTTTTCCTCTCCTACAAACCAAAGTCAATAGTAAAAAAAACTGTAACAAAAATCTATTTCATGTTGTCTGTATCTTTCTGTACTAACTAAAAGCCCTGGTTCCTACTGCCTAGAGTCGACTTTCCAAAAAGCTTTAGAGAAACCATTTGGGATCCCAGAGGCTTCCTAATCTGTGCTCTGTTGTAACCTATTTACAAGAGGGTGTTGTTTCAAAATCTCTCACTATACAATTAGGCCAGCATTCCAAGTCCATAATAATACCTCTGAGCAATGGCTTTGATATAATGGGTCTTTTAAATGAACTATAATAAGATTTTTCTTTTTAAAATTTTAGTTTGATTTTTATGCATCATTAATAACACATTTCTTGGATTTAAATCAGCAAGTCATAACTGTATATGGCATCGTGTTTCTACCACTAAATTTGTATCTTAATTCATTCTTTCTAGCCCTTACCTTCTCTTACTTTTATTTCTATTTAATTTCATCACTATCTAAATCTGTACCAGCAGCAGATACTGTCTGACTGCCTAGGTGGCATCTCTCCCTAAAAACACCTTTTCCCCACTGTATAGTAGCCATATGGTTTAGGTACACTAAACCTATTCTCTGCTGGAGGTGGGAGTTGTGGTGGTGGCAAGGAGAACAATGCGATCCAAGTCAGTTAATCACATCCCTCTCATTATTGCAATCAGGTCAAGGGTGGTCTAGTCAGAGAAAAGCTCAGGGCATCTGAACCACTGCTGTGGGAAGTAACCCTCTCTCCCCAAGGATGTAAACAAAGCATGTGGCCTTCATTGCTCCTGGTGGTAATCTTGCAACCCAAAAGGAAATCAACAAGAGGAGGTACCTCACACAGAGAGGAGACAAAGCCGGGAGAATCAGTAAGGTTATAGGCTGAACAAACAACTAAAAGGGATACTATTTCCAGACTTTTCTATCAAATCACTAAATCTCTGTAGTTTTAAGCCAGTTTGAAATTCCTTTTCTTTGGCAGCAACCAAAAGCATTTTAATGGAACCCCAAAGAAGTTTCCCAAAGGGAAAACATAAAATAATGTTCAATATACTGTTTTTTCAATTTTATGTATAATTGCTGTTTTTTCTTTAATTCATATTGTATTGTGATAAATGTTTATTTTTACCATTTAGAAAAAGAAGTTGTTGAAACTGAGGACCTGTCTCAGTATCTCACCCTCTTTGCCATTTTAATATAGTCGGCTAAAAAAAAAGTTAAATTACTAAGATAGGCCTTTTTTTTTTGAGACAGAGTCTTGCTTTATCGCCCAGGCTGGAGTGCAGTGGCATGATCTCGGCTCACTGCAACCTCTGCTTCCCGGGTTCAAGCTATTCTCATGTCTCAGCCTCCCCAGTACTGAGATTACAGGTGTGCACCACCATACCAGGCTAATTTTTGTATTTTTAGTAGAGACATGGTTTTACCATATTGGCCAGGCTGGTGTCGAACTCCTGACCTCAGGTGATCTGCCTGCTGCAGCCTCCCAAAGTGCTGGGATTACAGGCCTGAGCCACTGCCCCCAGCCAGTTTTGCCTTTTTAAATTACAGAAACATAATGTCAAATATATTCTCTAGAAATAATCCTATTGGTTAAAAAGTAGTAACTGCCACATCAAACTGTCAAAAGCTTACAAAGGAATAGGCCAGCCTATCTATTTCCTACAGAAAAAGAACAGACATTTCATGCAGAGAATTCAGAAGACAAAGTTCAGCAGATAAAAGTAAAATAATGAAAATCTCAAGTAATACTACTTCTTTTTGGTATTTCCACATAGGTTTTATGTTTACTTTTTTCCTGAGTGTGTGGGGAAGGTAGTGGTAATAACCCCATTAAAAAACACAAATAACTTTTACTCAAGAATAAAACTGTACATTTAGGACCTGTTAATCAATACTGTCAAGGCTGATGAAATTCACAATTTGATTAAAATATCATCTACTTGAATGACAGAGCCTTGGGAGAAAAAAACAATACCATCTACTCCAAGAACGGCTTGGGGTAGTAAAAACGTAATTCTCAACCTTACACCATGATACAGGTGCTCAGGATCCAAACTGGTAGCCATAGAGAATAACCAAAGCTACTGTGGATGGGAGGCCTTAAAGTACACAGTAAATGGTGGTAAGTAGTGGTGGCAAGAAACCAAAATGTGTTTTCGAGCAGGCAGTGGAAGTCAAGTTTCCTTGTTACCAATTTAGAAAGGCAACTTCTCTGGTCATTTATATGTTAGTACAATTATTAAACCTTAGTTGTCATTATTAGAATAAATCCTACATTTTCAAAAGTGAAAAAAATAAGCTATATATTCAAAAGTTACTTGAATTCACCCAATTTCTCAAGTATATCTATTTTATATAACTGGTATAAATTTGTAAATAAAGAAGCAAGCCACTTCAATAAAATCAGTGGTAAATCCTGTCTAAAAGAAGAAATTATGTGTTTATATGAAACTGTACCTCAAAGTTCGTAACACTGTCACTTGGAACTTTCATATATATATAGATTTCTTCAAGAGATATACTGGTAAACCGCTATTCAATATATCTATTCTATTTTCAAGTACTTCTCTGATAATCCAGGACACACAAACATAGGCTCCCTTTCAAGTTGGGCAAAGTGACATATTAAAGAAGACTTCCATGAAGAAGTCAGAAGAATTTCCATTGTACACATAACTATTATTTCAGTTTCATTAAACCTGTATCTTTCAATACAGGATGTTTAAAGAGACTTTGAAAAAATAATTCATAACTGCTTCCATGTCATCTGTTCTTTAGGATTGTTTAGTATTCAACTACTGGCATTCTACTAAGATAGAATGTATTTTAATTTTTATGATACCAAAGAGTAGATTTAAAAGGAGAAAACAAAAGGAGATTTAAGAAGTAAAAAAGGTAATTATCTTAAAGGAAACTTTTCAGATATATTTCTAAGCAATGTTATTACATGAATATAAATACAAGTTAAGACAAAGAAGCCAGGGCAAGGTTTACTACGCCTATTATATCCCTAGAACAACGGAGACACTTAATATACATTTTCTGAATAAAACTTCAAATCTAGAGAAACAGTCATGGGGGCAACTAAAAACAAGGTAGATCCTACTTTCCTGGGGCTTCTAGTTCACAGAGCAAATACCTTTAAGCAAAATCATTTATATTTATAAATATAGATATATGTATATATACATATACATATATGTGTACATATATACACAGACATGTTTACATACACATATATGTATGTGTATATATACATGTTTATATTTATAAATGTATGTGTACATATACACATATAGATATTTGCATTTATAAATATATACTTTATGTGTATATACACATATATACATATATACACTTAATATATATTTATATATGTAATATGTATACATATATACACGCATATATATTAAGTATATATAAAAATATATATATGCGTGTGTGTGTGTGTGTGTGTGTGTGTATATATGCAGAATTTCATCCATTACTTAAGGTCAGAGTATAAAGTTACAGCATCTGATAAGTAAAATGAGACTGTGTGATGAACCAGTAGAATTTCACTTTATAAAAAAAGTAACCAAAATGATACTGTCTCCTAAGGACAACTGAATTCACTTGAGCCAACAAGTGAGATAAGAAAGCATTCCAGGCATAGTGTAAAAAGAAAAGAAAAAAATGGGGGATTTCTCAAGGGTGAAGTACAAGTGAGGAATCAGCAGATGATGCTGGACAGACAAGGAGAAACACAGTTGTAAAGTCCTGTGTATACGATGCTGAAGAGTTTTAGCCAAGAACGTGATTTGATAGTGGGAAGGATAAAACAGTTTTCACTGATTCCATCTATTTTCTCAAAGAAGAGTGAAGCAAAGAAATCGCAGAGAGTGGAGAGGAGGAAGGGATTCCCAAGGTTAAGGCAAGAGAAAACACAAAAGAGCTCTTTTGAAAATGACAGAGACTTGAGTAAAGAACACTGAGAGTGCCTTGGCAGCACTCCATACTCATTAATGTTATGTGATGGCAGCTTCAAAGTTCAGTCTGAATGGTTGTCTGATATTCTCTAATGGTTCAGGTGCTTGGATACAGACTGGTAGATAGTTGGGTTTAACTGGGTTGGGCATTTTGCTGAGCAAGTATTATGCAGAGAGTGCAGGTCCAGGGAGTTAAAGGTCCTTGCAAGCAAATGCTTACAGGACTAGAAAAACTAAATTGAGGAAGGAAAGAAGTAAAGCCATGTGGAAAGTCATATTTAAAAAGTGATAGGGTCAATGAACACAGAAGCTCTTGATGGTTTCAAGACAGAGTCTGGGTATTAACGTTAGCAAGCCACAAGCATAGGCAGTAGGGTCAGATGGGAGACTATAGAGGTTTAGATTTTGGGGTAATGAAACAATTGTTGGCCTTGAAACAACACAACGAAATGACAACCAGCTGAATTTTCAAAAAGTAACCCAAACAATTGTGAAGAAACTGAGCCAGATGCCAGTGTTATCACAAAGGAGGGATAAAGGAAGGTGATGGACCATTGCAAGCAGGGGGATTAGTGGTGGGTAAAAGTCTCATGACCTGGACTTTCAAGGTGCTGAGGTTTTTGAAGGAGAAAAGAGGAGGAATGGTGTGGAAGCAGTAGTAAGAAACAAGACATCCTTTGCCCAACATCCTTTAAGTCTTGAATAATGTGAGTATGCAGGGATATGGGTAAAAAGCCTCCCTTAGAGAAGGCAGCAGAGGAAGTTGTATCTTTAGGAAACAAGTTTTAATTATGACACAGTGAAAAGTTCAGAAAAGAGGGACGTCATAGAAGGAATAATCAGTATGTCAGCTGTGCCTTTTTATTTCCCACAGCATCTGTGAAATGCAGAGTATTAAATGCTTGTCAATATGAATGATCAATTAATATTTACTTGGCATCAGCAGGCTATAATGCTACATGGTATTCCACCAAGCTTTTGTTACTGTGTTTTCTCACTTTAATCACTATTGGCAGCTGAGTTACAGGAACACTGAAAGTGGTGTTTTAAATTCCAAAAGAAAAGGGCAAAATTTTGTAAGAAGATGTTAAAGGAAACTTTTAAGTTCCATTCGGAAGTTTAATTTAGCCTCTTAAAAAATTTTAGCCCACATTTTAGAGCCTTAAATTCTTTAGTCATGGTTCCTTCCTTTCACAGGTGTCTCATACTTCTCTGAACTCTTACAGCACTGAAAAGGCTTTATCATGCGACTTCATGTGTCATAACAAATGCCATCTTATTTGCCAGGGCTTTACTTTTTCATGTTAGCTTCCACTCTCTGACTATACAGTCATTTTCTTGGGGTCAAAGTAGGCATTTAAGAGCTTCTTACTGATTTGGCCTGGGAATGCCTACATGAGTCACATAATTCTAAGGCAGAGATAAACTGTCTACAGTACAGGTGTTATTTGCTAACATACAAGATCTTTAGAAGAATAATGAACTGGGGTTTTAAAAAATACTTCGAAATTATTTTAACTATTCTTCAAGAGAAACGCTTATATGGGAAACAAAGAAAGCAAAATTAGTTATTTAACCAAAATAATGTGCCCAAACAAAATAAATAAATAAATCCTGTGTTTTACCTCGATAGTAGGCCTTTGTAATTGCATCAAATTCCTCTTGACCTGCAGTGTCCCATAACATTAGTCTGACATCTTCATCATTAACTCTAAAACAAGAGATGAATTTATTTCATATGTAAAGGAAAATGTTTTTGGTAATATAGCTTTGTGTATATTTTTCATTTTCAAATCCAAAGAGATTAAAACTACAAATGCTCCTTGACTTACGATGGGCTGCCCCAATAAACCCCATTGGGGGTTACATCCTGGTAAGCCCATTGTAAGCTGAAAATATTGTAGTCAAAAATATCCTTAAGTCAAAAATGCATTTAACACCCCATTAAACCACTGTAAATTCAAAAAACTCATAAGCTGAACTATTACAAATCCTGATGCTCCTCAACTTATGACAGGGCTATGTCTCAAAAAACCCATGCTAAAGTTGAAAAACTCTGAGTCAAACCATCTTGAGTCAGGGACCACATGGATACTGTCAGTTTCACCCTGAAAAACTCTGAGTACTCTCAGATGTTGATATCATTACCAACAGTGAAAGAGTGAAAAACATTCCCCTAAAGCTATAGCTTCCCACGTGATTTGGATTTATCTGCCATGTTTTTTTCTTTGACACAGTCACAGGTAGTAGTGGTCTAAGATAAACGTCTTGGGAAGGGGAATTCCCTTAGGTCACTGCTTGCTCTCCTTTCCCTACATCTTTCCAATGGGTTCTGGTGCTTTCGTGATAAAATGAGAATAAGAATGCAAAAAAGCAGTTTACCGCCAGTCACAGTGGCTCACGCCTATAATCCCAGCAATTTATGAGGCCAAAGTGGGCGGATCACTTGAGGCCAGGAGATCAGTACCAGCCTGGCCAACATGGTGAAACCCTGTCTCTACCAAAAATACAAAAATTAGCTGTGTATGGTGGCACATGCCTGTAGTCGAGCTACCCGGGAGGCTGAGATGGGAGAATTGCTTGAGCCTGGGAGGTGGAGCACGACTGCAGTCCAGCCTGGGAGACAGAGTTGAGACTCTGTCTCAAAAAAAAAAAAAAAAAAGGAATTTACCTCCCTGGCTCCCTGGTTGCCCTTGAACTTAAAATTTACTCTATTTTGTTATATAGTCAATTCTCATTATTCACAGTAGTTATGTTCTATAATGCCAATGTGAACACTGAATTGGCAAATACTGAACCACTGCTCCTAAGGGAAATACAGGGTTAGGTTCTTGAGAACCCCTGGTTACATTTTCATCAACTGATCAATACGTAACCTTGCTTTATGTGTTTCTGTTTAAAGACACCTTACTGATATATATTGTTAATTCATTAACACTGAATTCACGACCAACAGCACTGTAACTCGTGTCTGAACAAAGCTTATCTAACGTATTTATTTTTTCTGTAACGCACATCATAGCCTTCCTATACTTAAGAATGCTAGACAGCACTGCAGCACTACACTTAGGAGCATTCTTAAACAGCAAAATCACCAAGAAAAAGCACAAAACGTAAAAACTGTGGCATTACACAGAACACAGAAAGGACACATGTTTACTGTATGAGGGACTGAAACAAGAAAGAGACTTGTTTGATGACCTCAGCTGGGAAGTGCACGCTGGGCAACTTAAATTTTTTGCTGCTCTATGTATGTCCACAAATGACCACAAATGCACACAAATACTGATTCTGGAGTTACAAATAAATATTTTATTATAAATAAAACAAAGTGGGTGAATTTGCATATGCAGAACTTATAAATAATAAGGATTGACTGCATACTTAAATATTTATTTGGTTTCAGGTAGTAAGTACAAAAAGCAAACATCATCAAGAGTTAAAATGCTTGCTCTTAAAATATGTTCTGAGGGAGGAAGCAAATATGGAAATATTTTTAAAAAGAGAGTAATAGAATGCAGACTAGAAATTAATCTTTAAAATGATAAAATTATCTTTGATGTTAAAGTTGGGCCAGTAACCAGGTTTGTAGTATTTCTTATTTGGGTAATACATTTTAGTTTGTCTGCTACAATTTAAAATATCCTTAGACGTTCTCAGGACTAATGACAAAAAATTTTACTCTGATGTGTTTTAGAATCCAAATGAATTTCCTAAAGTAAGATTTCCTTCTCATAGGCAAATTTTGCCCTCCCAAATCTGTTTTGTCTTATTTCTTTAGAGTAAAGCAAACTATTAATTCTCTAACTTCCGTAGTCTTGCCTAGTTTCAAAAAGAGAACAGACATTCTAATAAAAAGGAGTCCATAATACAACTTTCATTCCAAAAAAAACAGCAGTTGGAAATCTCACTGGAGTCAGCATCAGTTTGTGTTTAAGACATGCCCAAGGTGTCACCAATAAATCTAAAACAGATGAGACAGAAAAAAACGTGGGAAGGAGAGTAGAAAAAGAAAAAAAGTGAAAGAGGAAGGGAAGAGATGAAAGAAAAAAAAAGGGTAAAGTCACACACGTGATGAAACCACCATCACGGTCGCATAAGCACTGCCACCAGTGGCCACATCTCGAAATCCACTGCAAGTAGTTAACTATTATTCCAATAAGTCTTGGATACAGTTCATAAATCAAAGCCAAAGGAATAAAACAGCCAAGTACTTACTGAATTTGTCGCTCCAAAAAATCAACTCCAATGGTTTTCTTGTAGTCTTTTGTAAAAATGCCTTTGCAATATCGCTGAATCATACTTGATTTTCCAACTGCTCCATTCCCTACAACCACCATCTTTATGGCGACTTCCATATCTTCCTCCAACATTTTTGGAGCTGAAATGGTTTCTGTACCAACTCTAATTCCAGGAGATCAGATCTTCTCTCTCAAATCTGTGGTTTAAAATGAAATTATTTTTTCATAAAAATGAACAAACTAAACTAATTGTTTTATCAAGAAATCATCACATTGCATTGCAAGGATGTGTTTTCATACCTGAGGCCCCTCCCACTCTTTTTAAATAATGTAAATTCTTTGAAAGGTACAGCAATAACACAATTCATTTTTGAATGAATCCTCATCAATAGCACAATGCATGGCATTCATATATCAATAAATACCTAGATCTACTTTCATAGAGACGATGATTAGGGTCATTAGACTTGATGCCTGATACTTTAAAGGCACCACTTGCTAGTTCTGTGCTCTTAGTGAACACGTTGCTTAACTTCTTCAGGCTTCTGTTTCCTGGCAATAATATCCATCTCATACGGTTGTTGATCAATGATACATGTAGAGCACTTAGCATAGTGAAAGTTATGCATTCAAAATTTAGTTAAGCATTCCTGATCCAAAAATCTGAAGTCTAAAATGTAGCAAAATCTGAAACTTTTTAAGCACTGACATGATGCCATAAGGGAAAAATTCCATATCTGACATGTGACAGATCACAGTCAAAAGAGAGTCAAAACTTTATTTCATGCACAAAAATACTGAAAGTACTGTATAAAAGAGGCCATGTGTATAAGGCATATATGAAACATAAATGAATTTCCTGTTAAGACTTGGGTCCTATCCCCAAGACATCTCATTATGTACATGCAAATAGGGCAGGTGTGGTGGCTCGTGCCTATAATCCCAGCATTTTGGGAGGCTGAGGCAAGAGGATCGCTTGAAGCCAGGAGTTTGAGACTAGCCTGGGCAACATATGGAGACCCAGTCGCCACTAAAAAAAATAAAATAAAATAAATTAGCTGAGTATAGTGGTGCATGCCTGTAGTCACAGCTACACGGGAGGCTGAGGTGGGAGGATCCCTTGAGCCCAGTGATTTGAAGCTGCAGTGAGCGATGGTCATGCCACTGTACTCCAGCCTGGGTGACAGAACAAGATGCTATCTCTAAAAAAAATTAAAATAAAATTTAAAAAAACATTGTAGATTCTCCATAGTGTATCACCAAATAGGCAACAAATTCAAAATCTGTGGAAATCGCTTTTCAACCTCACAGGTAATAATCAATGTCCCTAAAAAAGCACCCCAAAGATGGTTTCGTATAATAGTGTATGACCATGTGTCAGCATTGGGCTGTTAGTTATAACGATTTAGTGTTTGGCTTACAATGAATCCTGTACAAATAAATATCTTACACCACACATTCCTGCTTTAGTTTCAAACCTTTATAGTTACACATACAATGAAGGCAATAGAATGGGCACTGTTTGCATTTTAGGAATGAAAAGAACAGAAATTCAATTTCTTCATGTTTCTTCTTAAAATTACTAGTTAGGCTACTGCCCATTTAGCTATTATATTTCAACTACTTTAACTTAAAATCCTTCTATACAACCACTCCACCAAGAGAGTCCAAAAATGTGAAGAACATTCCTTTTTTTGTCCCTAATAGTCTCAGCAATTGTCTCCGGTACTTTACAAACCTGAGTGATCATAAGAATCACCTAAAAGTACTTGTTAAAGTATGGTCCTGGGTCTCCACCTCAGACATAATTTATCAGAAATTTCACAGGAGGCCTTGGAATCTGGTTGATAGAACAAGCACAAAAGGTGCTGCTTAGCTCTCCCTTCAAGAGCTGCTAGCTAGCAGTCTCTGCTACCTCACCTTCAGGATCCACTGCACTGCCCACTCCCGTTAAGGCCACATTCTCCCCAGGGAAAGATTAAACAGGCAGGGCCACTTGAGTTGGGCCAATTCTGCACAACATGGATCCTCTTTGGTCTGGGGCTCCCATCAGACTAGCTGAGATTTTTTCAGAAATGCACTGCAGTCTGGGGTTCTTTCCACCCCATCTTTCTTCATCCTTTCACAAGTATAAAAAACTAGCATTGCAGCCTCTTTATCCTTCTCAGGCATTTCCTCCAATAAATCTCTTGCACTTCTAATTCCATCTTGATATTTGCTTCCTGGAGAACCCAAATGGATATACATCCCAAGTGATTTTACATTCAGGTAAATGTCAGAGCCAATACCCTACGCTAGTGATTCTCAATTTTGGCTATACATTGGAATCACCTAGATAACTTTTAAAAAATACTTGGCTGGGGGCAGTGGCTCACACCTGCAATCCCAGTGCTTTGGGAGGCTGAGGCAGGAAGAGGGCTTGGAGGGCCAGGAGTTCCAAGGAACCAGCCTGGGTACCGTGGGTGAGAGCCTGTCTGATAAAAAAAAAAAAAAAAGGAATTTCCGGGATGGTGGCGTGAGCCTGCGTCCCAGCGACCTCTGGGAAGCTAAGGCGGGAGGATTGTTTTGAAGCCCGGAAGTTCAAGGGCTGCAGTGAGCTATGGACTGTACCACTACCCTTCAGCTTGGGTGAAGAGAGCAAAGACCCTGTCTTAAAAGGAAAAAAAAAAAAAAAACCTGATGCCTGATACCTGCATCTTATCCTCTGTGTATACAATCAGATGGTCCAGGGCAGTGGTTCCCAACCATTTTGGTACTAGGGACTTGTTTTGGTGGAAGACAACTTCCACAGATGGGAGGTTGGTGGGGGGCACGGTGGAGGGATGGTTTGGAGATAAAACTGTTCTACCTCAAATCATCAGGCATTAGTTAGATTCTCATAAGGATATAAGGAGCGCTGCAACCTAGATCCCTCACATGTGTAGTTCTCAATAGAGTCTGGGCTCCTGTGAGACTCTAATGCTGCTGCCGATGTGACGAGGCGGAGCTCAGGTATAATGCTTGCAGCCACTCACCTCCTGCTGTGCGGCCCAGTTCCTAACAGGCCACAGAATGGTACCAGTCCACGGCCTGGGGGTTGGGGACCCCTGGTCTAGGGTACAATCTGGACATCAAGTATCACCATCCTATTACTCTACACAAGATGTAGTCTTCAGGACACAGGGTCAAATATAAAATTCTGACCAGGAGCTGACCCCTGTTCATCCAGCTGTATCTCACACTGGTTCAGTTCCTAGAAAGCAACTTCCTTTCTCTACCTAAATAATTCTTCACCCCAGAAGACTGTTACGTTCATAAAACGGCAACAACAAAACTCTTATCACATTTTATCCTTTTAAAGATACATACTTCAGACACTTTTGCTTCTGAAATGATAGACATTTTTCCCTATTCCTTCCTGTAAATATCACTAAAATTTGTGAATATTATATATAAACAAACATTAGACATCGAAAAGTGAAAAGGTACCACAAGGCACAAAGAACAACATGGTAATGAGTTTTCCTTGAGTTCTTTTTACCTCATATATCCCAGACTGGATTATAGAGAAGCTAGTAACCAGGAAATGTCACCACCAACGACAAAAAGAAACATAAAAGCTACTCTCTTGAGTCAAAGGACCAGGAAAGGGAAAGCCTAGCAAGGCGGAGCTTGCAGGGAGCCGAGATCGCGCCACTGCAGTCCAGCCTGGGCAACAGAGTGAGACTCCGTCTCAAAAAAAAAAAAGAAAGAAAGAAAGAAACATAGAAAACACCTCTACCCTTGTGAGGGCTATATTGATGCACCCCAACTCCCTCATTGGGGTGGTGTCAGAGAAGAGCAACCGGGGGAGGACTGGGGAGGACTTTCATCCTCACTGGGGAGAAATGAAGGCTCCCCCAACCCCTGCCCAACCACCACCAAGGCATCCCTGGAGACCATGTGGGAGGCTGAACTTCCACCCATCCACCAATTCAGTCATCCCTACCCATTTTTACCTCCACTTTTTTGCTGGGGTGGTGTCAGATGAAGCCTATTAGAAAGTCAGGACTTCCACTATCTCTCACAGGTAATAAGGCCATCTGCTGACTCCCCGCAGTGTCAGTGGGTCAGCCTCCTCTCAGCCAGGGTGGTATCAGTGGCCCCAGTAGAGAGTCATCATGACCAGTAGTAAGAGGAGCTCTTCCCACTCTCAGTTTTTTTTTTTTTTTTTTTTTTTTTTTTTAAGACAGTGTCTCATTCTACAGTCCAGGCTGGAGTGTAGTGGGGTGAACACAGCTCACTGCAGCCTCAACTTCCTGGGCTCAAGCAATCCTACCATTTCAGCTGGGACTACGGGCGCACACCACCACGCCTGGCTAGTTTTTGCATTTTTTGTAGAGACAGGGTTTTGCCATTTTGGCCAGGCTGATCTCAAACTCCTGGGCTCAAGCAATCTGCCTGCCTTGGCTTCCCAAAGTGCTGTGATTACAGGCACGAGCCACCGCACCCAGCCCACTATGTTTCAAAGGAAGACAAGCAGGAAACCTGGAGTTTTATCCTCACCTGGTAGTAAAGAGGTACTGCCCCACCCTTCCTGTTTTTGGAGCACATCAAAGGAAGAGAATCAAGCTAAAAGAGAATGTAATGAGACCAGAGAATCACAACATAACACTCCCAATGTCCTGGTTTCATCGAAAATCACTCAGCACACCAAGAACCAGAAAAATCTTAACTCAAATGCAAAAGACAATCAATAGACACTAGCAATGAGATGACAGATACTAGATTTATGTAACAAGGATTTTAAACATAAAAAGTTAACTGGCAGTCAGTGAGCAATTATGGATATACCTGAATAAATGTAAAACATAAAGAGTCTCAAAAATAAACAGAAGATATAAAGAAGTACCAAACGGAAAGTAGAACTGAAAATTATAATAACCATAATTTTAAAAACTCAATGATAGGTTCAACGGCACAATAGAGAGGACAGGGGAAAGAATTAGTGAACTTGAACATACAATCTGAGCCAAGCAAACAAAGACTGAAATAAAGGAAAAAGCCTTCAGGACCTGTGGAACTAAACCACAAAAAAATTGCATATTTCTGTCATTGGAGTTCCAGGAGGAGAGGAGGAAGAAGACAGGGCTAAAAAAGGACTTGAAGAAATAATGACTGAAAATTTCCCAAATATGGAAAAAGACAAAGCTACAGATTCAAGAAGCTGAGTAGATCC